CATATTTGAAACAGGGATTTTTTTTTTTTACTGAAGCAACTGAAGTTCAGTGACTTGCCCAGAGTCACACAGCTAGTAAGTGTTATACGTCTGAGGCCGGATTTGAACTCAGGTCCTCCTGACTCCAGGGCCTGTGCTCTATCCACTGTGCCATCTAGCTGCCCCAAAACAGGGATTTTTTTCATCTTCTTTCTTTCATAATTATGGTGGGGGAGGATGGAGGTTGGAGAGAGAGAAGGTGGATCTGAAAATAAAATTTAAAAATCACTAAATCACTTATATTCTTTGACATAGCTATCTTAAGACATCATAAACATGAGGATAAAGTGTAAGACAGAAAGAAAAGTCCGCATTTACGAAAATTTTCCTAGAATTACTTTTTGTAGCAGTTCCTAATGGCAAAAAGAAGCTGGTATCCACTTAGACAGCAATGGTTTAACACGTCTTAGTGGTATAATGGAAAGAGTGTTGGATCCACCATCAGATGACCTGGTTTGGAATCTCAGCTTGGCCACTCTCTGTGTGACCTTGTTGCAATAATTTCACTTTGCTGAGCCTCAGGTTCTTTTATAAAATGAATGGGTTTGATTGTATGGTTTCCAAGGTCTCCTCTGGTTCTAACTCGATGGTCCTATTGTGCCATAGGAAAATACATATATGAGGAATTCAAAGAAATATGGGAAGGATTATACAAAGTGATACAGAGTGAAATGCAACCAGGAGAAGAATATATACCATGAGTTTCAGAATGAAGAAAAAAAAGCAACTAGAAAACAATTATAAGCTGATTAATTGTAATCACCTACCTCAGTCCTGAAGAACAGATGAAAAACACACATTCTTCTTTTCAGAAAGGAAGCAGTGGACTATGGGTACAGAATGCTGCATACGCTCTCAGACATGACTACTATATTGGTTGGTTTTGCTTAACTTCTCTTTGTTACAAGAAAGAGTCAAGGAAGTGGTATATAAGGAATACACTGTGATGTAAAACCAAAATGAGGCATCATTTTAAAAAATGACGTATTAGACACCAACATTTTGTTTCAGGGGGGTGGGGCGGAGGGAGGCTCTTACTTTATTAATAAACCAAGAGGCTCTCTCAATCTGGACAATCTAAAACATTTTAGGCTTCTCTTCCTAAGACCTAATGTAGTTGAAACCAATGGAATGGTAAAGTATAATGCACTCCATTCTCCCCTACCTCATTCTAAACATCTAGAAGAAAAAACAGATGCCAACTTTTCATTGTAATATTGCCAATATTGCTAAGCAGGCAGAATCCTAACATCCTCCATCATTTGATGAACTCATAACACCAACTATCACGCCTAGCTAGCCCAACACAGTCAAGTCAGCAAGCTCCTATCCCTTCTGAGGTATACCTGAAGGTAACAGAATATTACATTTTTTGAGAAAGAAGTCATGATTCCAACAACAAAATTATGTCTTGAAAATATAATACAAAGCATGGGTTCCACAATTTTAGCCTCAAAGTGAGCCTTTAGAGTGATATATGAGGAGACATGGGGGGAAAAAAAGAACTAGTTCATTTAATTTCCTGCACTGACTAAGCTGCTTTATTCATTCAAGGACAGAAGAAAAAAGGACTTTAGCTCTTCCTAAATGTAAATTACAGGCACAATTGCAGATACTCATGCCAACATAAAGCTGAATTTAACAGGGCCCTCTGGAGTTTTAAATCCTCTGAACAGTGAATCTAATGGCCAGCGTGCACTTTCTTTCAGGGAAGTTGTCAGTATTAAAATGAGAAATATGCAGGTGGGGAAATATTCACCTTAGTGAACTATTTGCATAATAAAAATTAATGGTCAGTTTCTTGTTTATGTCCAGTTCAGTGATTATCAACAAAAAATATTAGATCTGCAATCTTGTACCCACATTTCTTAATATTACCCTCCAAGCTTATTACAGAAAGCTTAGAATGTGATAAACATAGAGAAGGCTCTCTTTGGCATCTAATAGTGATTAGTTGAAGTTTTGCAGAATGTTTTGTCACTCTACTATTTTCAGAGGAGTTTTCTATCATATACCAACTTTTGTATTATGTAGTTGAGCTATAAAGTCCTTGAAGTAATTTTCTTAAGAACTTTTATTAAGAGATATTCTCTTTTCTTCTATGTCCTAATTCAATCAGTGGCTAATTTAAGGCACTAGACAGTATAATCAGCAATTTATAGAGCATTTAAAAACTCACAGGATATTTCCCCAAGATCACTAAAGAAAAAGAAATGATTGCCATTTTACACCAAAATGATTCACTTGGTGGAGGAGGTAGGGGGAAGGGGAAAAAGGAAACTAAGATGTGGCAGAGTTAAGGTTACATCAGATAGGTAATACTGGACAAATACCTTGAACTATGCCAAAGTAAATGCTTACAGACCTTAGGTCAGGCTAATGGATTAGACAGGGATAGATAAGGTGGCTTCTATACATATTCAAATACACTTTTTGGATAATTTATAATGAGCTTGATATAAGGATGATAGCAATTTAAGGCTCAAATCATATCAGCTATATATTAAAGGGAACAGACGTAAAAAGATACTGATGATACTAGCTGTAGGTGTACAGGACCTAGACTCCAAAACAGACAAGATTACAAGCTCTTTGTGGACAGGGACTCTAGTTTGGATTAATTTTTACTCATTTAGCACCCAGCATAGTAGGGAAGAGAAGGGAATAAGTATTTATTAAGCACCTACTAGGTGCCGGGCACTGTGCTAAGTGTTTTGAAAATAATTTCTCATTTTGTCCTCACAACAATCCCGGGAGGTAGGTGCTATTATTATCCTCATTTCACTGATGTGGAAATTGAGGCACACAGAAGTTAAGTGATTTGCCTAGGGTCACACAGCTAGTAAGCGTCTGAGGTTAGATTTGAATTCGGGTTTTTCTGACTCCAGCTCCCACACTCTGTCCCCTGCCCCACCTACTGTATAGAATTTGGCAGACAGATTAGTCAGTAAAGGAATACTTGATGATTCATACATTAATTCGAACCTGAATCCACCGGAAACCCTGACTTCTGGGAATGATTTGGTACTCATGTGTCTCCCCACCCCCCATCCTCAGGGAAATTAGAATTCTAATGTTAATAATTTGCTAGAAAGGCAGAGGTGACACAGGCAGACTATCATAGATCCAGAAAAAAAAATTGCCTTAAACCGCTGGGCAGGAAAGTGGAGACAGGGGATGGCTCTTTGGGGAAAAGGCACAATTAAAATAACTGAGAAGGTAGAATCCACAGGAAGGTACAAATTTAAATGCTGAGTATCTAACAAAAAAGAAGAAAGCTCCCTTCCCCCTTTACCTTTCCTTAATTGTAAAATAACCAGGTTTTCATGGGAAATGGTCCTCTCCCTTTGTAATTCCCTTGAAATTCAGACTGCTTGAGTGATTTTTATACCTGTGGGTTGAACTCCTGACAGATGCTAAATGTTATAGCTCATTGAGTTAGTGAATAAAGAACAGTCCATGTTTACTGTAAATAAGATCCTACTTTCAAGTTGAAAAGCTATCAAAAGCTATCAAAAATAAATCCAATACTCAATCTTTAAAGGCACTTAGAGCCAGGCTTCTTAAACTTTTTCCATATGTGACCCCTTCTGTGACCCACAGTTTAAGAAGCACTGATTAGAGAACAGGCATGTCCAAATTCTAAAATTCCTTACCCTGTAAAGCCTAAAATTGTGATCTATTTTCTCTATTCAAGTGAGACAGCATTAATTGGGTGATTATTAATTTACTAAGATTACATTACTGTTCCATTATAATATATTCCTAAAATTATAAATTTACTAAGAAGGTGCAACACCAGCCAGCCACTCATGCTCATGCTCTTTGAATAGAGATGTGCATTAGAAGAACTAGAGATTGGTCATGGAAGAGATTGTTTTTATGAAAAGGCCATTCCAAATCTTTGAATTAAGCTGCTTCTCAACCCTAGTTCACTGTGCAAAAACTAATCTTTAACTTTTAAATATATTACTTGACATTTTATGGCCATCAGAGTTGAATATCAATTTTTTAAATGTTAGTGGAAATTGGATAAGAAACCACATCTCAAAGGAGAATCACCAGAGTATGGAAGAGGGCTATTAATTTACTTCCCATTACCACCTGGAATCTCCTTTCACTGTTCATACCACTCTATCATCGGTTCTGCTTAGTCTATACCCATAAAAATAATTTCATGATTATGGAACTGAAAAATACCTTTTTATGATTTATATTTGATCAGTAATCTAAGTCACACTTTGAATTAAGTATCTTAAATAGTATTTAATTTTGGTGTAACAAGTCGATCCGTATTGTACAATGTGTTAATTAATTCTTGAGGACTACAGATCATGTGTTTAGGTTATGGAACCACTTCAAAGTCCAATTCTGAGCCTTTCATCTACAAGCCAATAACTAGGCAACCTTGAAATCCTAAGGCTAGACAACGTTCCACCACTGATTGTGTTTGAAGAATGCGGGGCAGTACTTGGTAGATGCAATACAGTCAAGATCCTCTTTAGCCTACCCCACTTTTCTAAAGGCAATCAGAGACATGGAGATCAAAGCCTCCCTCAGCAGGACATTCTCAAGAGCCTGCTCCTCTTTGCCAGTTTGGGACACTGTGCCTTACTTTTAACCATGCTCAAGGGCCTACTCTTTTGGGAAAACGGCAGGGAGAAATTTATGAATGACTATACATTCCAGAGCTTGATTCAATGATTCAAATAATATAACGCTTATTCAAAGTGACAGTTGGGAAGTTAAGTGTTTTTCTACAGCATCGGGTAGTATTCCCTCTGGCCTGACATAATGCAACAGGCAAATTACCATGATTTCTCTGGTTATTACTTTAAATAATCAATAACACAAATATATTCATATACTTAGTAGGGACTGGTTCTCAACAGGGTATATAACAATCACATCATCAAAAAAACCATAGTATTGGTCTCCATGAGACTGCTTACCTACAATTCACATTGTGTGGAGAACAGATCCATGCATTCCACTGAATTTCTGCTCTTCATGTCCACACTTATGCTGGAGGAGGAAAAATAAAGCTGTCAGAAATCACGATGTACAACCCCACAACCAAGGAAACAAGTACACTGTGAATTTAGGTTTATTTACTATATCATTTAGTCAAAGTGAAATTAGACTAATGACCTCTGTGACTTCTTCCAGCTGCAGACCTATAATCTTTTGAAGCTATGTCCTCATGTGCTTTGTAGAAACATGACCTTCTACTGTGGAGTATGTGTAATTTGGTTTGTTTATTTACTAATTGGGGTCTTGACCTGTGATTTCATAGATGTGGGGGAACGACTTATGAGGAAACTCTATCCACTGATGCAAATTAGCAGCTCATCTATAATGAATCTTCAAGAGTTTCTTGGAGTAGTGAGAGGTGAAATCACTAGCCCATGGTCATACAACTAGTAGACACCAGGGAGGATTTGAACCCATGTCTTCCTGACTCCAAGCCTTACTGTCTAATCACCATGCCATGCTGCCTCTTTACGGTCAAAGTCAACCATTTCCACTTGTATAATGATTAGCATAGGTCATAGGATAGAACTCTACAAGACATCTTAGACATGGCTTAGTTCAACACAGTCCCTTTTACAAATAAGTAAACTGAGGCCCAACAAGACAAAAATGACTTGTGCCAATCAAACAGGTAGTAACTGGCAGGGCCACGACTTGGCCCCAGGTTTGCTGACTCCCAAATCTATACTGGTATCCTTGAAAAATTCAATGTCATTCACAAAAATCGATAATTCTACTGCTATGCCTTTCATTAGCAGATATACACACTTGGGTTGGCTAATATCTGCAATTCAACTATCAGAGATTCAGTCCTTCAAGTTCAGACTTTATACCTATTAAAATACAAATCATTCTGGTACAATGAAAAGAATACTAAAAGGGAAGTCAGGAAACCTGGGTCCTTGTCCTGGCTCTGCCAAATATTAGCTATGTGTCTTAGATCAAGTTGCTTGACCTCTAAGCTAAATGCTTCACCTTTTCACCAAGTGAATGTGTGTGTGTGTGTGTGTGTGTGTGTGTGTGTGTACATACACACACACACACACACACACACACACAGATAAAAGAGGATCCAATACAGAACCCTGGGATATACCCATACATAGTGGGAAGGACATCTATGATAAAGCTGCAAAGGGGATAGAAAGATTGTCTTCAATGGTAGGAGAAGAACCACAGCAGTATCACAACAATTGAAGAAAAGGAAATAATTACAAGTAGGAGATGTTTAACAGTGTCAGATAATGCAGAGAGGTCAAGAAGGTTAAGGATTGAAAAAAAGTCATTGCATTTAGCAATCTGAGTTCATAGAGAACCTTGGAGAAAACAGTTTCAGTTGAGTGTTGTGAAGTTGAGAAGTGAAAGGAGAGAAAGTAAAGAAAAGGAGTGTAAACAACTTTTTTTCCTAGAAGTTAGGCTATGAAAGGGAGGAGATAGATAGATAGATATAGATAGATGTGTGTATATAAATATGTATATATGTATATATGTATGTATATGCAGAATGAGTACTTGAATAGATGGTCAAATGAAAGGGTTTTTTTTTGCTTTTTTAAGGTTGTAGGAGACCTGGGAGTATTTGTGGGCAGCAGGGAAGAAGTCTGGATTCAGAAAGGTAGATAATTAGTGAGAAAAAGATGATCAAGTCTGGAATCAGAGGAGCAGACAATCAGAAAGAGGTGATCAAAGGGGTAACCTGCTAAAACAGACCAGAAGGATGGGAATCAAAGGAACAAAAAGAGATGTTGGCATTGGCAAAAGTAGGAGTCACCTGAAGCTCTAAGACTGGAGCAAAGTAGGAAAGGGTGTGGAGTGATGCTGGGGGATTTGAAATAGGAAATTGGAGAAGAAAGAGAGCTCATGACAAATGGCTTCAATTTTTTCAGTGAAATATGAGATGTCTTCTACTGAAAAAGAGGCAGAGTGAGTGTAATGGTATAGCTGGTTTGAGAAGAGAGCTAAAGGTTAGTGCTAGCTAATGAAAGGAGTATGACAGAGACTCAATCAGAGAAGAATCAGAGATTGGAATGCAGCACTAAGGGCCCAGTGAAGGTGACCTCTGAGTTCTCCTGCAACTGTGCCATTCAAGCTGCACTTCATTTTTCAAGTGATTTTCCTCTGCTCCATCTCCAATCCAAATGACCATTCCAGCATATCTCCTCTATGCTGATTTCCTGAGGTGTTGTGGTCAACCGGTCCTGTTCTATCTTCCAAAATACCTTGAGGTGCAAACTATTTCATCAAGTGGTTTTTCAAAAATACCCAGGCAGCTACTAGTAGCAAACAAACTCCACAAAGTTAAATTGAATGTCAGACTTTTCTCAAGAAGAAATTTAAGTGAACTGATTCGTATTGGAGATAATGCAGAAAAGCTCAGGCCCAGTAGTTTTCTTAATCTAATCACCTACAGAAAGAATTGTTTCTTTCTTGGGCTAAAATATATAATAGGGGCAGGGGCAGGAGTAGAGGTGGGGGTGGGAATGGAGGGGGCACTTTCTAAGATCACTGCCTGAGAAATAGCTAAACCACAATGTGAGAACCTTATATAACAAGGCTACTGAAAAATACCTTTTTTTTTTTTAAATGGCAAAACACCTTGTCATTTGTACTATGAAATGCTCACTGTCAATTGATATGCAACAATGCCCTAAAAAGGAGTGGGCCCTAACATGGGGCACCATAGTACAGTAAAAGAGGTCAGGATTTGAAGTCAGAGGACCCAAGTTCAAATTCTGTATCTGCTATTTACTACTTGTGTGACCTTAGAAAAATCACTTCATTTCTCTGAGTCACATCTGTAAAAAAGCAGGTTGAACTAGATTATTTCTAAGTTCCATTCCAATTCGAAATCTACGATCCTACGATCCCTGTCTTGTTGTGTACACCAAAGGTCAAAAGGGCTTACATGGCACCAACTCCCAAGTATAAATAAGCAGTCCCCAATTTTCTATAGCATGCTCATTTGTAAATTGATTGTCTAGCACTTAGAGCTTTTCCCATAGAAATAAAAACCTGTAAAATCTTAATTAAAACATAATGTAGGTGAAATGCTGTATGTTTGCGATAACGACTTCTAAAAAGGTAGGGAACAATTCCTTGGACACACATTTTTCTTGTAAAAACCATGACAGCTGTTTTTTTCCTTTGATAATTCCAAAGATCTATGATCTCAGTGATCTGAATGCTCTCTCCAAAGTTGCACATCATAACCCATCAAGACCTATCTATCCTGTGAGACTCTTATCCTTCTTCTCCTGTAAATCCACCACATGGGGTCCACCCAACGCAGTGAGGGCTTTTCTTTCATTCTCTGGTTATCATGTGGATACCTCATGCTAAAATGCTCCATGAAAGCAGGAATTGTTTTATTCTTTGTGTTCATATCCCCAGAAACTAGCACAAGGCCTGGCATATGCTTAATTAATGCTTATAGGTTTCATTTATTGGTACCAATGCAGCACTTGGGCTGTCCACTGATTATTTTTTATTCTCGTTGTGTGACTAGCTGATCTTTTTCCTAAAAACATTGTTGTTGTCGTTGGTGGTGGTGGTGATCTTTCATTTTCAAAGAGGACCAATGATCTCATGGGGTGATGCCTTGACTCCTGCATGAACTGGATTTAAGTGAGGCAGAATTCCGCAAAGTCATCACTCCTCTATGCCGTATCTCCTATCTGGTTCATTGTAAGGTGTTACAGTCGGTTTATATCCAGCTCTGCAAAGCCCTTTGGCAGATCCTCCAGAGACTGTGGAACACCATGACTCACAGCTATATAGTGTCATTGAAAGAATATTGGCATTTAAAAAAAAGAACGTTTCAGAAAGAAGCTTGAGGCCAAAGGTAATCCAGCTTGATCACCTTTTCCCATTCGACTCTCACCCCAGCTTACTGACAAGCTGCAGTGTCTGCTCAAGATACACGCACTGACACACCAGCTCTATGGGTTGTCTAACTCTCCTTTATTACAAGGCTTGAAACCGTTAGCCAAATGTCATTTGCAAACAAAGCAGCTGGAGGACTGCTTTACCATGCATAGTGCACACCTCCACCACTGCCACCAGACCCTGGCTATTCCTCCATTATGCGGGCAAACAACGTTCAGAAGCTTTTATCTCCATGTTTGAAGTCTTCTTTCACATTAACAATCAGCTGGTTGTCAAACAAGTCACTTCTGTTGTTATAACTTATAAGGAATCTGTAATGCTTTTAAAATATGCATAGGTGGCATCGCTTTGGAGAAGAACCTATGAGACAGCATTGTTGTTTTTTCCCTAACAAATCAAATCTGCTTTCTCTAGTACCATTTCTCCTTCTTATACTGCACATCCAGGACTGTGACATGAATCCAAATATGATGGCTCTTCTATTCTTAATGGCAAAAAGAGTTTGTCATGAAAGTCTTCACATATCTCCACTTTTTGTCTGTGCTGTCCTATATCCAGATTTATCTCTATTTAATAATAGTAATAATATTATTATTAATATTAATAATGTAATGAGCCCTTTCTATGATTGATTTACTGTTCTTAAAATGGATATTCTCATATTTCATGTATTATGGATATAATCCTGGAGTTGATTTCCAACTGTCAGGAACACCCACTCTTCCAAGGGTATCTAAACATTCAGTGGCTCCCAGGTTCATCTTTGGTTTCTGAGAGGGCCACTGATCTCATTTTATTATTTGCTAGCCATTATTAATAAATTGATTACTAATTACCTAGAAATTATGTCTCTTGGACTCTTTATTCATCATGATTTGTTCATGATTTTGCTTAGCAGTTTTCAGCCAATGTAGTTTGTGAGGAGGAAGTATTTTGGACAGTTTGGGGGAAGTGTCTGCTATGTCAAAACAAAAATCTGCCAATTAAAAAAAGAAAAAGAGATTGAGGAGGCATATGGTTAAGTTTGTGAAGTCTTTGTAGGAGAATTGTGAGCACTTACAGGCCTTTGGAGACTACTGCTGCTGGTTTTATTCATGTGTACATGC